CACACACACACTCACACACACACACACACTCACACACACACACACACACACACTCACACAGGCCTGTCGGGCCACTGGCTCTGGGCCCGCTCAGACAGAACCGTCCTGCTGATCCAACATGGTGCTGGGAGGAAACCGGGCCCTGGGTGTACTTCACTGGATCTACTGGTTCTTGATGGCCCAGTAAAGACCGAAGCGGGTTTGGTTCTGATCCAAATGAAGGTCAGGGTGCTACAAGAACCACTCAGCTGATCCTCCCCCACGTGGGCCAGGCTGTTTCTGAACGGTTCATGTGTGCAGGAGGCTCCTGCAATATGGGGCCACCAATTATTTGTGCCCGCTGTGGGCCTGCTCAGAGACGGCACCGACCCGTTTGGGACGGTACCAAGGAGAGCTCTTGCTGCAGAACTTCAGACAGACAGCCTGAGGGAGGAGTCGTGTCATATTTATAGTTTTGTTCAGCTCCACCTGTTGGTTCTGGTTCTGGTTCTGACTGGACCAGAAGGTGCTGTGAGGCCTCAGGTGGTTCTGCAGCACCGGACTCAGGAGGGAATCTGACTTGTTGTTGTGGATGGACACCCCCAGAGGTCCATGGGCCTGGGGGAGGGCTCGCTCAGACTCACCTGTAATCCTGCAGGATTAACAACATGGGGGGGGGGGTGTCCTGATGGAGGAGGAGTTCTGAACGATAAAATGTCAACATCAGACCAACAGGAAGTTGAATCTCTGACTTCCTGTTGAGTCCTGCAGCGGAACCACCTTGTGGAGCTTACAGAACCAGTTCCTGTAAGGTACTGGGCCGAGGTCCAGCTGTTACCCACAATCAGTCCAGAACCTCAAACTGGGCTTAAGATGAACCTGAACGGACCCCAGAACCTGTACGTGCAGCACCTGAACGAGGCGGCTAACGGGCTAACACAAAGCACCGGCGCTAACGAGTCACTCCGAGTTTCTTCTTCGGTGAAGATTCTGCCATTGATCTGCAGAGAAGAACTACTGAAGCCTGATTATTGATTATTACGATCAATGTTTGTCGTTTTAATGAGCCGCTCAAAAATCAATCCATTAAAAAGTGAGCAGGAAGTTTCTGCCTCGTTATTTAATCAAGCTTTGATGTCAAATCTTAAAGATGTTTAATTATTCAACTCTTGAGTTGTTCTCCAAACAAAAAACACTGACCTGGTTTATTAATCTCACGTTTCAGAAGAATATTTACAGAAATGACATTTGTTAAATTGATCCCATGGATTTGATTATTATCTGTTCAGTCTTGAAAACTTATTATTTTTGTTTTTCATGTTTTCAAGTAAATTTAGAAACTTTTTCAAGCGTAGAAGAATTTATTTAAAGCTCATTATAATCGTTTTATGATTGAACGGTAGCTCAGTGGTCCGTGTCGCGGTCTCATAATCTTGAGGCTGCAGTTTGTGTTGTGTTGAGGAAGCAGCTGCAGCAACAGCAACAACAACAACAACAACAACAACAACAACAACAACAACAACAACAAC